TTCAAAGTGGATGAATGTTTGTTTCAATGAATGTTAACTTATTGCTATGCAATATTAAATTTATATAATTAATAACCATTCTTTCTGTAAGAACACAGTGAGTATGTCTATATGTCTCATAAAAAATCAAGCATAGTAAATAATAAAGATTATTTTCACTCATGAACCCATATTATCATTGCTATGTGATAAGAGAAAGAATGAAGAACCATTCATTATTTTCATCAACAGTTGATTGTACTCACAGTTTTACACCTGTCTTATGGACTCAAAATAAATGCTAAACCTTTTACATTTGCACAGTGTAACTCAAATAGAGTTAATTTTAACTCATGTACTGACATTGGCTTTACAACCTGCAACAATAATTTTGTAGATCTTTTATTGCTTCATTTATGTTGCTTGTTGGGCATTGCAGTTTGCTTCTCTGTTGGTATAATAAACCATGAACAAGAGAAACTTGGAGAGGAATGGATTTATTTCATTATGCACTTCCAGGTCATGATCAATCACTAATGGGACAGAATCCAGGGAGGAACAGTAATCACTGCCTTGCTGACATTCTCATTACCAGCAACTCTTTTGTGTTTTTGTTTTTGTACAGCTCAAGTCTACCTACATAGGGATGTTACCACCCACTGTAGGATGGGTATTTCTTCATCAATTTGGCATCAATAAATGTCCCAAATACGTACAAAAAGTCAATCTGATGGATACAGATCTTGAGTTGAGGATTCTTCTTCTCAAATGTGTCAAGTTGAAACCACGATTAGCCATCACATCTTGTAGAATATTATTTTAAGGTGTGTTCCTTTTGTTTATGTTGCATTTATTTAACTCTTTGAAGCTGTGTTACTGTGGCTGTCTAAAACACCTGATGCTCTAAAAAAAGAACTGAATGGCCAATAGCGAAGCAGCAGAAAGGATAGGCAGAGTTGGTAGGCAGGCAAAATCTAGAAGAAAAAAGGAGAAGTAGCCAGATAAGGGGAGGATGGCAATAGGGGCCAGCCACCCAGCTATACAGCCAGGCATGGGCTAAGAGTAGAAATAAGATTTAAAGAAATAAGAGAATGAGAAAAGCCCAGAGGCAAAAGGTAGATGGTATAATTTAAGAAAAGCTGACTAGCAACAAGTCAAGCTAAGGTCGAGCATTTATAAGTAAGAATACACCTCTGTGCGTGTTTTATTTGGGGGCTGAATGGTGGCCCCCAAAGGAGCAAAAACAAACAACCACACCCAGTATTTTCTGTATGTCTACAAAGCTTCATGTTTTCACTGCCCAATGGTACTAGTTAGGGATTCAACTACTATTTTGACCATTTCTTGTCTTACCATCCTAAGGGAATGTGCTCTACAATTCTCTATTATTTTATTTGCTACAGGAGTTGGGTATATAACTATTTTTAAGGTAATTAGCAAAAATTAAGCCATACATTTGAAAGAGAGTAAAGACTGCTAAATGGAAGTGTTCAGAGAATGGAGAGGGAAGGGAACATAATTATACTATAACCTCAAAATGTACATATATATCTTATATAATATAATATTATATATATATATATAATAAAATGGATTAAATTTCCTAGACTTCTTGTATAATTTTCTAATGGTTTTTAAAAAATATTTAGGGTCATAAGCTCTATCAGACATTCAAAAAATATATCTAGGAATGTGTTAACAAGATTTTTTTGTCTCTGCTAATTAAATATTATGCAAGATTATATTACTAGGATGAACTATATTGCAGCAGGCATATAGTCAAACCTGGTAGAACAGGCAAACTTGGTAGAATAGTTAAGAGGATTAAAATTAAAGGATTGTCTGGACTACAGAGTAAGTTAGGGACTAGTAAGCAAGTTATTGAGACCATGTCTGGAGATTAAAAAGAAAAGAGCTGAGGGTACAGCTCAGTGTTGAAGCACTGGCATAATAGGGTTGAGGCCCTGGGCTTAATGATCACAGCAATCAGTGAATCAATCAACTAATAATGTTATCTAATATACAAATGGTTGTACTCACAGAATGGATGGCTTGCACTGAAATGAAGTTACAATAATTTAGGTGCATTTTCTGAAAATAATGTTTTATATAAAAATTTCTCATTCTTTTCTGTGCAAGACTTTCTATCCAGATTGCTACTGATGCAGTGTATATATGTATGAGTGTATATACATACATACATACATACATACATACATACATACATACATTCATACATACATACATAGATACATACACACATACATACATATATGTGTATATAATGTACAGCTTATTCAACCTGTTTGGTCTGTGTGATTAATGTTATTTTTATGTATGTTTTCAGATCTGAAAATTTGATATTAGAAAACAAAAATCTCTCCTTTTTTTTATTTTGTTCATCAAGTGCATACACCATGACTACCAATTTAATATCTGACTCCCACTCCTATAAATTTATTAGCACTGTAGTAGTCAAAGCCAATATTGGTTTTTGGTATAGAACAACCATATTTGAATGTGCTACTATCATTCCGGTGTCTTACAATCTTATTTTCATACAGGAAGCTCAGTGATATTTTTAAAATTACAAGCCAAGGCTGGGTTTAGAGTTTGGTGCCAGAGTGCATGTGTTACTGCCATGATGCTCTGGGTTTAATTCCTGGTGCTATCAAAAAGCCCTACAAATCTTAGGGTCAGGACATGTCATTGCCCTTCAAATCTTTCACATAAAGTGAACCAGAGTAGCTCATCCTGGTGAGAAATGACATCTCTGCTCAGCTCTTCACATCTTGTGACTCTTTCTCCTCATCCGTGATAATGTATTTACCTCATCTTCATTTACTACATCTGTCATTGGTTTCATATAAGAGAGCAATTATAGCATCACTATCTCCTGATTTCTATGCTTTGCTTTTACAAAATATGGCAGCTCAAAAATTTCCCAGAGAAATCTACTTCAAATATTCAGATTCATATGTATTCTTCTTATGTGTTCCTACTTTTATTTTATGTATTTTCCCTTTTCCATGCCACCAGGTTTTCAAGAATATACTTATTATAATCATCTAGAACATTTGAATATCATTTTAGCATATTCTGTTCTCTAAGTAAGAACCTAGAAATTTGTCACATGGAGATTTTGCATGTCAAAAAGTCCATTGAGAAAAGCTGCTGACTCAACATTAATTTTCAGGTCCCCTGAACCTGGCCCTATTCGATGATATGCAATATTTTTGTCTAAGACTCATTTCAGCACAGCCTTGGGCAATGCATTGTGCCTAAATTGGCAGGCTGTGCTATTCTTTATCTTTGTTTTTGGAACACTCCTAGCCTTTCCAACAGTAAAGACAAGTCTAATGTTTCATCATGTATTGGCTTCTATACTAATTTATCCAATATATGTCGTTTCTTTGAGTAGCAAAAGAAATATGTTAAGCATACATGGTTTTCCTGTCACAGACACTGTATCAAGAACAGGTTTTGTAGAAAAGACATCTTTTGTTAGGAAGAAATTTTAAAAGTTTATTTGAACAATCATTATTGATAGTACTAACAATGAACTTAGATCATCTAGCTACATATCTGACAGTCAAACCTGACAAACAACTTATAGCTCTCAAACTTTAGATGTCTATTACAGAAAACCTTTTTTTTTTTAAAGTATCAGAGAGACTCACATTCAAGGGAAAGCATATAATGGAAACAGAGAGTTGTCCCGGTCAATGATTCATAATTGCTGAGTTCAACCTTAGACAGTAATTGTTAAAATATTGCTCATATGCATGTAGCCCTGGAGATCTTTGAATAAACAGAGGAGATCTGAAAGAACTAACATGTGCCTTTAGCAACCTCTCTTTTCCTTTTGAAGTTCTGGCCTCTTGGTTCACTGAAGTCACTGTTGTCCATAGTCCTTTTCTTCAGGCAACATTCTCTGGTATTCCTCTTAGCAAGCCTCTTCTATCATCTGTGAATAACAATAGAGAAATCCATTATCTATTTGTATAGCCAAGTAGAGGTTAGACCTGTATTCAAGGTGTGAGTCAGCTTGTGTCAGATCACTCAGGTTGAAAGGAGAGTCCCACAGGCACTCATGTCACCAGGAAGTACCCTCCTTTCAAGCTGTCATCATTAAAAGAAGAGCATCCAAGCTAAGCACTCTCAATGTCACAATCCCATAAATGACCCAAAAGACTAGAGTTCAGCTTCTGTCTCCTGTAATTATCTATAAATTAGTGTTGGCAAACCCCTTAATAAATTCCTAAAAGTCTTTTTTTCTTATGTTGCTCACAGCACATGGTATAATTTAGCCACCCTCGGGGTATTCTCTGTACATTTCAATTCTTCCTTGAGCTTTCAAATGTATCATTGATACTTATATGTGCTTTTTATAATTTATCCTCTGAGATTATGGAAAATATATGGCTTCTTTATACTCATTGCTAAAATTTCATCTTTGAAAGCAAAGCTCTCATGAAGTGTTCTTGCTTTGAATTTTGTGTTTTTTCCTCGAATAGAGCAATAGGTAACTTACTTTTTGTTTCTTACCATTTGAAGGCTCTTAAAACACTTAGAGCAAGGACTGTTTAAGGGAAGTTAACAACTCTGTTGTGAGAGCCTTGTGCCAGGCCAGGTTTAAATGCTGTTTAACCACAGACAAAGAATGTCCCAGTGATTAGTTAAGAAGTGCTCTATTGGCTTCAATTTGTACATGGGGAAGGACATTCAAAGATACCATCACATTTAACTTTTCTGTAACTCCTATGTAGCCTAATTCCAGCTCTGATACATGTTCAGTAAATGTAGTAGACAAATTTCTTGTAGAAGCAGTAGGATTTTTAATTGCACGCATTCAGTATTTTTGGAAGTCATCCAAAATAACAGTACTGGGACACTGTAAACGTTAAGGATATACTCTGATCAATAATTGTGTGTCAACTACACAGAAAATGCTCAAAATAAATATCTCCTTTAATAATGGACAATGAAACCATCATAATTATCAAAAACAAGAACAGAAATGATAGTAAACAGTTTATTCATTTTTTTGGCCATCTGAGCAACAATGCAAAGGACTTTGTTTAGCAAAGAAAACTGTGTTGGAATCAAAGAAACGTAAACATAGAGAAAATTATTTCCTACAAAATATATTCTACAATTATTATCTTCACAAAAATACAATGATACAAAAGCATCCAAATCCAGCTTCTCAGTGAGATGCATTTAATCCTAATCCCAGGCTTTATGAGTTATTATTATGTTCATAAACAAAATTCACATTTAAAACCTTTTACCCCAAGACAGATTTCTTTCAACTTCAAGGTTAGAGTCAGAAAAACAAAGAACCATCATTTCAAGTTTTTTTTTTGTAGTCTGTGAGACTGTGAAATGGAAACATACTATTATTGAAAGGAGAACACATTAGTATAAATTCTCTGAAGTAATTTATCGAAAGTGTGTGTGTGTGTGTGTGTGTGTGTATGTGTGTGTGTGTGTGTGTATTTGTGTACATGCATATCTATGGGTATAGATGTATCTATATGGACATTCATACGAATGTGTGAGCATCATTTTTTGTGTTGATGTTCATGTTTAAATTGTGCATTCATGCAGCTTTTATAGTGATGCCCACTGTTACCTTATCTCTTTGACTGACAGTGATGGGATTTCAGGCACGCTCAACCTTTCCAACAGTGCCAGTGATGGGATTTTTTGAAATCTTATTACTGGTTGCAGTGCCTTGATCTCAGATGGAACTTTCAATCAAAAAGGCAATCAGAAGGTTATACATTCGTGAGATTCCCTGCAAAGCCAACGATCGCATAATACAACATGTTGCAAAGGACTACTTGCCTCCAGTCCTTATGTGGCTATAAAAAGTAATTGGCTACTTAGCTCTCAGCACCCGCTTTCCTTCTCTAAAATACAGATAGCCCAGCTCTCTGTGGAGTCTCAGTGTGGAGTCGGCTGCTCCTAGGAGATTTCTAAGTCTCATGCAGAGACTTGTCTTACTTTAAGCATATGATTAAGCAAACTCTCAAAAGACACATTTGTCTCTTTCCTTGGATTCTTGCTTCACTGAGGATACTGATGAATCCAAGTTTCCTTTCATGTTATATACACACATATACTTATTTCCTCCCTTTTTGGGGTACAAAACATTTTTACTGTAAAGTTTGTATCATGGACAGCACAATTTGGTGTGGGAAAGGTAACACATGAATATAATTTATAGAATACTTCAGCTGTATTATCATAAACCATTTTAAATTGTATTGACTGCACTCATAGTGAGAATTTTATAAGGAATGCTTTGTTAATATTTGGTAATATGTTTGTGTAGAGATGAAAAAGAAGTGTTCTACCAAATCACGTGGAAACTAGAGGCAAGGGTTGATTCCATGTGGCCTCCAGTCATGTGAGGAAACTCAGTTTGACGGAGATCCTTGCAGTGAAGTAAGCAAAGGGAGACTAGCTTTGTTTCACATATCATTTGGCACAGAATTATTGGGCAATGATTAAAAGGGGCTGGTGCTTGGGACACACAAAGACCACAGACACAATAAAATGAGTGTCGAATGAAGCACTATTTTAGTTGATAAATGACCATACATGTGTGGAGATTCATTTGATGTGTCTGTATTGTTAGCACAAAATGATTTTGTTAATATAAAATGATAATAGAGTTAAAATGCATTGCTTGAGAAGTTGAGGAAGGAATCCTTAAATTTTAATAAAACACTTTGGGTCTATTTTGCATGTGGGAATTCTAGCAAGTGTGTTACTAAAGTAAATGTTTACTTTACTTTACTTTACAGCTTACTTGTATGTGTGTGGGTTTGGGGGTTTAATTTAAATTCAGAATACTCTAAAAGTGTATTTCACATACCAAAACCATATTATTCACACATAACCATACACAGCACCACTTTATCCAGCATATCAAAACTTTATATTGACTTCAATGCTCAAAATGCTTAGAAGGTAGTGGAAAGAAGTGTTAACATGAAGTTCATGTTTCCATGATGTCTTCCTGGGCAAAGTAAAATTTAAAGGAAGATTGGGAAAACTGGTTCAGGCTACATTGTCTTCTATCATATGAATATTCCTCCTGATTGACAATACTGAGGATAGTGATTTTTATATTCCTATAAAAGAATACTGTGATATGTCAGTTAAATATGTCTCTGTACAGCAGTTTCCTACAAAGTAAAGAGAGATGAGTTTGAAGTGAAAGGGAAAAATAAAAAGTAATTCCACTTTAGTTTATAATATGAAAGAGGGTTAGGATTTGGAATTTTATTGTTACTATAACTGATATCAACATATTTTATGACTCTTGCTAACCTGCTATATAGAAAAGTCACTGTAGACTCTGTCTTCATGAAAAGTGTTCAGTAGCCACTCAGGTAAGTATAAAAGATTATGTTCAGGTAATAGGGAATAAGAAGGAGGTGGTAAGCTACTGGATACTTACTAAATTTTAATTGAATAGTTAGTCACTTTGTGTCTGTCATGATGGAGACAGCTTCCAGAAACTGTCCCCCATCTCTAAGCCAAACCCATGCCTTCCCTAGATAGCCCAAGCTAGGCCTAGTCTGAGGTAGCAGGTGACAATAGCCTACCTATCTTGTTATATTGGATCCTCTAAGGATCTAGAAAAGAATGATTTTCATATCTGCAATGTAGTCTAGGTTCTTTCTCCAAATCCTGTTCTCTAATCCCTTCATTTCCTCACATGTTGGACTGTAATCTCCAAAATGTAGGCTTTTCCTATGCACAATTGCCTTCTTGTTCTTTTATCCTTTCCTGCTAACTCCACTCCACCTTCTGCCTCCAGGGGCCCCAAAGACATACTAGACGGCCTTTTAGTTATGGCATTTATTTTTATGTCTCTGATGTTTTCTTGCTATGGGATCAATAGCAATCCATTCCTCTTCTCTGGTTCTTTATTATAATAAAGACTCTTAAAACTAAAAGTGCCCCACAGTATGATTTGATTGCACAGTTTGGAATGTCAGTTAAAGTCAATTGCTCTGCCAAGAAATCTTCATGTAGCTGGACAAAATGATGACAACAAAGGTATTTATAAAAATATATTTCACAAAGTAGGAAACAATACAGGAGTTTCTCTGAATACAACACATGGAGTAAATAAACAATATTGCATTAAAGCAAAGTAGAAAAGTAAAATGATCTGCATGTAATACTTGAGTTTTATCATACATTTTCTACTTCTACATGGCAGGTTTGCATTACAAATTAAATATGCTCACATCTCCTAGTGTTGCTCGGTTTTTTGTAATCTAACACGTTCTGCGCATCACCATGACCAGGGACAGAAGTGTAAAAAACATAAGCAGTAAAATTATGTACAAATCATTTCCTGCTTTAAATTAGTTGGGGGAGGACAACTTGAAGCATTTTTATTGGGTGGGGCATTATGTAAATATCTAAAAGTCTAGAGTTTAAATATTCACAGGAATCAATATACTTTCAGATGTTTGTGCTTGTAGTAAAAACACCAAATACTAGGATTATGAAGAAAATAGAAAACAGTCCAAAAGTTTCTCTGGGAAATGCTGTTCCTGTCATTACCAGTCACAAAACACTTTCTACTCTAAAGAGACTATTACCTCTCCCCTTGATAATATTGCCTGCCATACTTAGCTCATCAAAATGTACATGTATTAAACATTCATTGTATAGATATTAATATAAAACAATCTAAAGGATTATTAATGGATATAATTTAATTTTCCCCCATATAATCCCTTAATCTATAGATTACCAACCTTAATAAATAAAAGCATTATTGGACATCAATAAAATATTTATTTTGAGGATTAAACAAATAAATTCACACGCTAGCAATAAAACCATCTGTCTCTGATGTGGTCCACTCTGGAATACAGTTTATCTCTGTGTCCTTGTGGAAGAAGATGAAGTGGAGGGAACCAGGAATCCTGCTTCTAGACACAGCCTGTTTGAATGGCATTTCTCTCCTCCCACCTTTGAGTTGGCATTCCCCACCCTGGAATGGATTACGAACATGTGAATATTTTAAGGCTCGACACAATATTTAAAGATGCTATTCAGTCTCTGGTGAGTGGGGCCAACATTTATGTACAACATGTGGTCACCGTACCATATAATCTAGGAGGCCTCCCCAATCTCCATAAAGTCATAACGTACAGCAGACCAAAGTATTGCTTTATCATTTGTGACGGGATCCTTATTGGTGAAGGGGAAAAAAACCATTTGCACTCATAAAAATCCTTGCAGAAGACACATATCAGCAGCAGAATTCTTGTAGGTCCATTTTTTTTTTTTCTAATAAAGCACCTTTTAATTTTTTTTCCTCTTAAACAATTCTCTAATGATTAACTAGGATCCCAATCTCTGACTGAGGCAGTCAGGTAAACATCAAATATCCAAAGACTTCTAGACACTCCACATACTTAATTCACACTCCACAAGATTTATAACCTCCTAACATATACTTTTTATTTTTATTATTTTTTTTGGTTCAACATTAAAATGTGGTTGAGTTTATAGATGATTGGTGCTAAACTTGCCTCTAAAACAAATAGCCACATTTGTTGTCTCTAAGGGGAGTGACCCTAGAATATTACAGAATGCTCAGTTCCATAGATTGTTTATATAATCCACTGTCAAGTTTCTTTGTCACTTTCACCAACAGAGTAGAGTTCGCCCAGTCTCTTAAAGCGGGGACCCCAGTCACTGAGGTAGTCAAAATTCTGGTCTGAGTCTGATGTGGTGGACTCCAAGGAGCTGAGGGAGCCAGCCACAGACCCTCGGCCTTCATAGCCATAAATCTGAATGGAGTCATATGGTGGGGCCGTGGGGTCATTATCTGCCTCATGCAGCCTTACATTTATAAATTCATCGACATCAACACCATTTGGAACTGGAGCAAGCCCTTGCCTTGGCATAAACTGCAAATCTGGTTTAATATCCTTACGGGGTAAAAATCCATTAATTCCATCTGGGTTTTGCAAAGTTGCAATGTCAAAAGCCTCTGTGTCCTCCTCCCCGCCTCCTTCATCATCGTAGCGAATGATGTTTTCCCGAACATCTTCATCGTCTTTGATAATTAATGGCTCATTTTTATGCCGCCTTAGGGTAACGAACAGAACCACAATGACTGTAAGAAAAATAGCAAATCATAATCAGTCAACAAGCGCATCCTGCCACAATCAGAGCAGAATAGATGATAGGGGAGAGGAGCATTTTTAAAAAGCACATATTTACTTCTTTTCAACCCTGCACCTTGAGTCTAGTGCTTTAGTGTTCAGCAGTGCTCATATCAAGACTGTCAAAATCTTTAAAATAAAATTAGACTAAACTCTACTCTGAATGATAAACACTAAACTCTTGTACATATTACTTCAAATCACTTTTGTTTAATACACATTCAGTTGTGGTATAAAATGCATATAATCTGGAGTCAGCTCTTAATGTGAGCCCTACAAAATAGAAAATAGCATCCACAGCATAATTAACACATTAAGTATATTGTGTGAACTATTCAATATTCTTGGTTTCTGTCTATGTTTCTTAGATGTAATATGTATGGTATTTGAAAAATTCTTTTTATGATGGTGATAATGCTAGTAGAAGTGATGAAACCCAAAACATTCTACATGCTTTTGAGCACTCAATCACTGAGCTATGGCCACAGCACATATTATAATAAAGTTATTCTCCAATTAAATGATAGATTATTTTCATACAATATAAATTGTTACATAGATAATATTATATTCAAGGGCAATTGGCAATCCTCTATCTAGAAAGGTTGTCCCAATACAGGGTAAGAGAAAGGACTATTACTGAAGTAGTTACCAGCTAAGTGAATCATGAACTGACACAATCCTTAAGACAATTATTTTTCAAGATAAATATAAGTCATAATTACTCCTTTTGATATTTTCTTGAAAAGAAAACTACAAATTATAGACTTTTGGGCCACAGAGTCTTAACATGTAGCCAAGGATGGCATGGAACCCCAATATCTCCTCTTTCTCCAAAGTGCTGAATTACAGGGATGATTTCACCATTGTTGTAATTTTACCTTATACCAACAAAATTATCTATAAAATAAAATG